GGCACGGCCCTGCAAGGCGCAGAGGCCTGGCAGCGCAGGCGAGGCTTCGGGGCTCTGCTGACCCAGGTCACCGCACACCGGGCTCAGTCGAGCTTTGCAGGATCCTGCAGGATCCTGCGCGCCAGCCCGGGTCATTGCAGACCTGGCGTTGCGGGATCCTGCCAGATTCGGGGATGGGCAGACCTCCCTTTAGTAAAACGTGGTTTAGTGAAAACGACGTGAGGCACAAACCTGGCGGGCGCAAGCCTGGAAAATAACGGCCGCGGCGCCCTCTCGAGAACCGAATACGGACAATGCACTAATCGACGTGTCACTGTTCGGGTCCTGTCCACCCCCGACAGATCTCTCCCTGGCTGACCCCCGCTTGCAGTCGCGCCCGTCTCGAGGCTCCCGCAGGCTGCCGGGGGGAGGACCTCGGGCGCGCGGCTTCCCATCGAGCCGCCAAGAGGGGGGCGGAGCAGCTCGGGTCGGAGCCTCGGCGCCGCATCGCCGAGGCATCGCGGATGCACCCGCGGCGGCGGCGGGGCGGCAACCAAGAGCGGGCTCCGGGCCGCGCCGTGGCGCCGATGCCTCGGAGGTGCGGCGCGAGCCTCCGACCCCGCAGGCTCCGGTCGCGGTCGGGAGGCCCGGAGGGGCGCGCGCCCGGCCCTGCGCTGCAGGCCTCCCCCACGACGAATTCCGGGAGGGCCGAGGCGGCGACGGGGTCCAGCTGCCCTCCTGGCCCACGCCACCTGGCGCTGCTGCGGGCAAGCCACAAGCTGTCGCCGTCGTCGTCGTCGTCGTCGCCCTTCCATCCTTGGCCCGCCCGCCACTCCATCGGGGATTCTGCCCGCATATCCTCGTCCTCCTCCTCCAATTCCTCCTCCTGATTCCTGATTCCTGATGGTGTAAGAAATCTCTGGCTGTCGTGCTGTCGTCCCCCCCAAGGACAGACATCCCTGGGGGGATTGGTCAAACTAAAGCCTGGTGGTGACCCTTAGAACACCACCCCAAAGGCCACGGGCTGTTCCGTGTATTAAAATGTAGAGGTTGAGATCAAGAAGGACAGACAGGCTGGAGGAGAGGAGAGGTGAAAAGGCGAATGGTCATGGCCTCGACAAGGGGAGGCAAGTAGGCGGAGGTGAGCGCTATAGCGCGTGGCGGGCCGTGACAGCAGCTGCTGCGGTAGAGGCGCGGCAGCAGAGTGTGGCCACGCCTGGGCCCAAGGGCCCCTTGCGGAGTCCTCCCCCACTCGGGTCAAACAGCCCCGTTGGGCCGGCGCCCGAAGGGGCGCCTTCCTGGGTCCCGCTCCGCAGAGGCGCCCGACCTGACAGGGGATGGGGGGACGAGCCACTTGGCCTGCGACGAGGTCGTGGTAGAATGGCAGTGGAAGAGAAAGACAAGCGCGGCACTGGTGGCCGGCACCGCACCAGCGGATGCAAGGCAAGTGGCACTGCGCGTAAGTTCTGGTGCCATGGTGGGTGCCCTGGTGGCTGCGTGGGCGCCCTGATGGCTGCAAGGCAGGTTGCACTAGTGCAACTTCCGCTTTAAATAGAAGAGGTGGGGTGATGAGGTGGAGGTGCATTGGGCCAGCCTGCCGCTGATTGAAAAATGGAAGCGCAGTTAAGGTGGTGCAGGAAGGGGGGAGGCGAGAAGGTTGGCTGCGTGCTGGCGCTGCGGCAGTGGAGGTGCCTGTCCACGCTCGCCAGCGTGGAGGGCACAAGGGCCTCTCCATTTGCTCATAAGAACCCCACCCAGGCGCCCCCTGGGTCAAAAGCGGGAGCCCTTACCTGAGACCAGGCAAAACGTCCCCAGCACATTGACCCTGGGGCCGCCTGGCGGGGCTCCACCGAGCGCGAGGGAGGTTTGTGTCTTTGTCCT